TGTGTTCGTTATGTAAGAAAAAAGTTTGTTCTAAAAGTATTTGTATATAACACCTCAGACACTACTATCAACATGTAATATATTCAAAATTCTCATCCAAATACAATCTCATTTGCAAATGACTCCTAAATGAATTTTGTCCAATTATTTCTAATTCTCTCATCCACCGTGTATAGGATCTACGGGTTTGATCAAACTCAATAACTTTGATTCAAATCATGTATTTATGTTATGACATTCCAACAAACTTCAAAAAAGATCGATTGTGATCTAGAATTTACAAACTCAAAATCTTAATCCACATCTAGTAACTAATTAAGTAGTGACTGAAAATGAATCCATCAACAATAACATGAGCAAAATCAAAATTCATTCACAAATCAAAACCATATGAATAAAACATCATAATTAGACACACAAATAAAAAACAACATAAAATCAGTCTCTAACTTTGAAAGTGCAAGTCTAGATATTTTAACTTGCTATCAACTAACAACTAAACACTCCAACTTGGCCTCAATGTATCTCATGGACATCCTACATTAACGTAACAAATAATTTTTGGAAGAGTCTAAATGATCATTTTATAAATTGGATAATTTAACTAAGACCAAATTTAAATATCACATGTTTATGTATTATGCTTTTTTTTTTTTTTTTTCTAATAACACTTCATAAAATGAGGAAAACAATACATTCCGAAGCTTAAAGTACAAAGAGGAAATCTTTGAACTAAATAAATGTGTATTGTACAATTAATATATTCAATTAGTACAATTCAAAATTAAAGTTAGAGACAAATGGTTATCATTGATTTTGGGGAATATACAAATGGTATATATGCCATACAATCATACACCATTTTACAGTATTTTGTCATAAAATATTATGATGATTCAATCCATAGAAAAATGGGACCCTGGAAGATTAAAAAACTATAGGTTCTAAATTTTATAAAAAAACATTTATTGGTTGGGTTCGGGATAATTTTTTTATACTTCTTTATCATAAATACAAAGTTCCCAATTAGGAAGTAGGTAAGAAATCGTATTAATTTTAATTAAAGTATTTTAAATTTTTAACTGAAATCATCTCTCAACTATGGCACAAATCTAAAGTACATCATTCTAATATAATCATGGATAAGAAACATCCCTCTATCTTACCCAAAAATTGCATACTCATCCTTCTGTTAGTTTATCTTCAACTTATAATTATTATTATTATTATAATTATTATTATTATTATAATTATTATTATTATTATAATTATTATTATTATTATAATTATTATTATTATTATAATTATTATTATTATTATAATTATTATTATTATTATAATTATTATTATTATTATAATTATTATTATTATTATAATTATTATTATTATTATAATTATTATTATTATTATAATTATTATTATTATTATAATTATTATTATTATTATAATTATTATTATTATTATAATTATTATTATTATTATAATTATTATTATTATTATAATTATTATTATTATTATAATTATTATTATTATTATAATTATTATTATTATTATAATTATTATTATTATTATAATTATTATTATTATTATAATTATTATTATTATTATAATTATTATTATTATTATAATTATTATTATTATTATAATTATTATTATTATTATAATTATTATTATTATTATAATTATTATTATTATTATAATTATTATTATTATTATAATTATTATTATTATTATTATTAGGCTTAGAGGGTAGTTTTGTCATTAGTTAATCTAATGCATGCATTAAAACCATTGCATTGCTAATACCTAGAAATCCATGGTATTAGCAATACACACCTTAATACACAATAGATCAGAGTGTATAACTAATGCAAGCATTAGTTATACATAGGTTGGAAAAGAGTACCAAACAAGGTACTAGTAATACACAATGCTAATGCATGCGTTATTTTTCCTAATACACTCTACCAAACGACCTCTAACAGTTACAGTTAAAACATGTTCTAAGTTGATATCTTACTTTGTAATAATTTACTTGATTAAAGTTAATATAAGATACAATAGAATAATTTAACAAGTACTTCTCGAGGAGACATGATCGGAGGGAGTGTACAATAGCTCAAAATATAGTGCAGAAGACGATTAAAATTAGGAGATTTAGAGGAAAAGCCACATGCTTGACACATGTTTTGACGGTAGTTTTTGACAAAAATTAACAGAAGGATGACTATTGAAACTTTTTAGATAGATGAATGATGTTTTTCGTTCAGTATAATAATGCAAGGATGTATCCAAAATCTAGACTATAGTTTGAGGATGATTTTGACCAAAAACTTTAATCATCTCCATTTATTATCTTGAATATTTTAGTAAGCTATATTAAAATTATTATCGTATTAGTTATATTTCATGTTTAAAAACTTTGAGCAATAGTAATGGCCATTACCAAATGATCACACAACTTTTGTAGAAAGTAAAATAAAATCAAATTCATAAAACTCAATATTTCAACATTCTTTTTAACTAGATGCAAGTTACAGTTTTCTTAATAGGTCTATCAAATTAAAAATGAAGAAATAATTAAAGAGAAAAGGAGTACTTTTTACCATCTAAATTTATGTCAATATATCTACTTTTAAAATATAGACACGTGAACTATCTAGGGATTAACTTTTTTAGGGATTGTAAATGAGTTGACCCAAAATTGGGTTTCCAGGAACAAATTATTACCTGTAGCTGCTTCACTCATCTTTCTTTCATTCAACTAAAAATCGCCTAATTATTCCATATATTGTCATCAAATATGAATACTCAAGGAGAATCATCTTCTTCTTCCAACTTCTCTTATGATGTGTTTCTGAGTTTTAGAGGTGAAGATACTCGCAAAAACTTCACAGGTCATTTTTATTTTCGATTGTGTCAAGTCGGAGTTAATACTTTCATAGATGATGAGGAATTGAGAAAGGGAGACGTCATTTCAAACAAACTTGACAAAGCAATTGAACAATCTAGAATTGCCATTGTTGTTTTCTCCAAAAATTATGCTTCGTCTAGTTGGTGTCTTGATGAACTTGTCAAAATTCTCGATTGCAAAGAGAGGTTAAAATCAGGTAGTTTTGCCTATTTTCTATGATGTTGATCCTTCTCAAGTGCGAAGGCAAACTGGATCCTTTGACGAAGCTTTGGAAAACACAAGGAACGATTGGTTGGAGCTGAAAGAATGGAAAAGTGGAAAGCTGCACTTACTGAAGCAGCAAATTTATCTGGATGGAATTTGAGAAATATTGCTGATGGGTAAGACTTCTTAATTCAACTATAAGATTTTGAATTTAAGCGTTTGCCTAATCTTATAAGTTGGTTAATTATGGAAAATTTCAAAATATTTCTATAGTTTTTAAATTCTATGTCAAATCAAACTGTTTTATATAGATAGGGACAAGGAATATATTCTCCATTCTATAAACTCTGTTATCTTTTGGCTATTGATTTTTATTTTGTTCATCAAATATTTTAAAATACTCAAGTATTTATTGTTCCAAAAACTGTAGGCATGAATCAAAGTTTATTGAGAGTATTATAAAACAAGTTCTGCAAGAGGTTAACCAGACACCTCTAGATGTTGCTCATTACCCAATTGGATTAGATTCTCCTATCAAACATATAGAGGTGTTACTGCAAAGTGGATGTGAGCATGAAGTTCGCATGGTTGGTATATGTGGAGTTGGTGGAATTGGAAAAACAACTTTGGCAAAAGCTATCTATAATCAAATATTTCAACAGTTTGATGGTAGTTGCTTCCTTTCTGACATTAGATCAAAAACCGATGAATCGGGTCTAGTCAAGCTTCAAGAGAAACTACTTAATCAAATCCTCAAAACTAAGGAATTTGAAGTTGATAGTGTTGCTGAAGGTGTTAATCTCATCAAAGCAAGACTTGGGTCTCAGAAGGTTCTAATTGTTCTTGATGACGTGGATCATAGAGGCCAATTAGAATCCTTAACAAGAGAAAGAAGTTGGTTTGGCTTTGGTAGTGTAGTAATTATTACAACCCGAGATGGGCATTTGCTATATGGGCTTACAACAAGTGAGCTATACCAGGCCAAACTTTTAAATGACAATGAAGCACAACAACTTTTTTCTTGTCATGCTTTTAACTGTTTTTCTCCACCACAAGAATATGTTGATCTGGCACAAGACATAATAAAATATTCATGCGGGCTACCATTAGCTCTTGTGACATTGGGGTCGCATCTGCAAGGGAGATCCGTTAAAGAATGGAGATACGAGTTCAAAAAACTAAAAGCAATTCCTCATGGTGGTATTCAAAAGATTCTCAAGATAAGCTTTGATGGACTTGATGTCAATACTCAGAGTGTTTTCCTTGATATCGCATGTGCCTTCCATGGTTGGTATGAGGATGAAGTTACCAAAACATTAAATGCGTGTGGTTTTTATTCTGAAAGTGCAATTTCAACCTTAGTCCAAAGGAACTTGCTCCAAAGGGATCGGCATAGTTTGGTGATGCATGATCTAGTGCAGGAAATGGGAAGAGAAATCGTTCGCATGGAATCTCAAGACCCTGGAAAACGGAGTAGATTGTTCAACCCTCAAGAAGTCATTGATGTTCTACAAGGAAATAAAGTCAGTAAATTTCATTATCTTTATCTTGGTTATACTTCTTCTTCTTTTTTTCTTTTATATTGATATACATTTGCTTATAATTTATGCATTTGTGCTTAAATCTTCTCCGGCTAGTAAGTATCTTTAGACGTTTGAACCATTCTGTACTTGAAATGAACATTTACTGAAGTCTAAACAAACTATCAAAGACAAAATTATCAAATAAATATCCTTTAGTTGGATATAATGTGTAAATTTATTTTTATTGGTACATAATTTATTCTCTTTGTTTGACCTTCAATTTGTATAAAGCATTTCTCTTTCTTAATTTATCATACTTAACATGGTCTTATAGTACTTTTCTTCTTACTAAACTGTAGGGTTCTGAAAATGTAGAAATATTGGTGGTAGAACGACATGCATTAAAGGGTGTGAAGCTGAACACCAAAGCATTTCAGAAAATGATAAATCTTAGGGTGCTTAAAATCGACGACTTACGTATTAGTGGAGATTTTGAGCTATTGTCCAAGGAGCTCAGATGGCTGTCTTGGAAAGGATGTCCTTTAAAAATGTATACCATCAAATTTTCCATCTGATAAACTTGTATTTCTGAATATGAAAGGGAGCAATATCCAAGAATTTGGTTTGAATTTGCAGGTTCGTTACTCAATTCTGCAATTTTATGTGTAATGTTTAAGAGAAAGAAAATCTTAATTGAAACAATATTTTGTTTACTTTTAGTGTTGTAGAAATTTGAAAATGCTGGATCTCTCTGATTGCAAGCGCCTCAGAAAAACTCCAAAACTTCAAACGGTTCACGAAGTCTCGAGACTTTGCTGCTTGAGAATTGCTCAAGTCTGAAGGAGATCCATCCATCAATAGGAAATTTGGACAGACTAACTTATCTTCAACTGAATGGTTGTGAAAAGATTACGGAACTTCCGAGCAACATATGCCAGCTAAAATCCCTTAGAGTTTTGTACATTAGTTACTGCTCATCTTTACAAACACTGCCAGTTGACATTGGAGATATGCAAAGCCTAAGACTTCTTCGTGCACGTCATACAGGTATAAAACAATTGCCTGGATCTGTTGAAATGTTAAGAAATCTTACGAGATTGGATGTGAGAGGTCGGAATTTAGAGGCCAAAAGGAGGTTTTCTCAAACAAGAGTACTCCCCGTAGTATCCTTGTCAAAATTTATTTCGATTCTACGCCTTTCATATTGTGGTTTTGATGTTCCTAGGGATATTGGGAAATTATCCATGTTACTTTGTTTAGATTTGAGCGGCAATAGTTTCCTCTATGTACCCTTTGATTTTTCCAAGTTACCCTTGTTGATGTCCTTGTGTTTGAATGATTGGGAGAATCTTCAAACACTCCCGTCAATATCAAATTTAGCGTACCTTACAACTCTTGAACTTAGGAATTGCCAAAAACTGGTCAAGATTACAGGATTGGACAACCTCCCTTCAATATATGAGATCGACATGATTAATTGTACTTCACTGCAGAATCCATTCAGTGAAGGCTTCTTTAGTGCCCCTGCTCTGTCAATTCCGTCTAGAAAACATCAACTGTATGAGGTTAGTCCCTCTCCCTCTCTGATCTCTCTCTTGTATCACATTAATAATTAATGATCTAATTGTGTCTTAATTTTTCAGATGAAGGTGTCGTTACGAATTAATCTCGAAAGCAATGAGATTCCAGATTGGTGCAGCAATAAAGTAACAGCTCCATCTATCTGTTTGATTATGCCCACAGTACATAATAACAAGTTGTTAGGAATGGTTCTCTGGTTTGTTTGCCACTTTGGCAATGTAACCAGCCGTCTTCAAGAGTTTGATGTTACTATTGGCCAGCCTTCAGCTTTTTTCCGGACTTGGGTACCTGACAGTGAGGGAGAAGTATCATGTGTATATTACTTATCTTTCTCAAATGGTAGACCTTTTAATGGCCTGAACATCATCAAAGGAGGGGAACAGATAAGAGTAGAGGATCGCACTGGCGGAGCCGTAGTAAAGAAGATAGGAGTACATCTATTATATTTAGATCAACATGGTAATGTTACTTCTTTGCCGGCAGTTGTGGATCATTCTTATACTCCCTCCTACCCACAAAGACTTTCAGCAGGGCATGTCAACTCAAACAACAACAACACATCCACTGAAATCCCACAAGTGAGGTCCGTAACAGTGGGTATCAACGAGCAAAGTTCTGAGAGTGTGTTCAGTACCATGGAAAATGTGTTCCATAGAAATAGGCCATGGACCTGGATCTACCAAATGATAACAGTGCCTCTAAAATGTCTTTTTGGAAAATGTTTTTCCGGAGATTAAGTAGGTTTCTTACTTATTTTCTTGTGTTCGTTAGGTAAGAAAAAGGTTGGTTCTAAACGTATTTGTATACAACACCTTAGACACTACTATCAATCTGTATTATTCAAAATTCTCATCCAACTACAAGCTGATTTGCTAAAAAGTATTTTTCATTCAGATTTTTTTTTTCATCCGTCAGATGCCAAACACTCGAAACTTCGATCCTAGTTTTGTCATCCAATTAAAATTTCGCAAGTGTAACTAATTAATAGGGGTAGATCCACCACAGGTCCACATGTATATAGAACCTACGGATTTGGTTGAACTTAATAACTTTGATGCAAATAATGTATTTGTGTTCAGACATTTCAGCAAGCAAAAAAGATCGGATCGTGATCTAGAACCTACAAACTCAAAATCCTAATATCCGCCTCCAGTTACTAGCAAGCAAAAAAGATTGGATCGTGGTCTAGAACCTACGAAATCAAAATCGTAATATCGCCTCTAGCTACTAATTAAGTAGTGACTGAAAAATGGATCCATCAACAATAACATAAACAAACACTCAAACTTGTCTACAATCGGCAAGTAAGCATTCTAACTTTGAAAGTGAATATCTCAACTAACAACTAAACACTCCAACTCACCCTTAATGTGTCTCGTGGACACCATATACTAACGTGACACAAAAATTTTGGAGGTGTCTAAATGATCACTCCAACTAAGACCGAGTTTGAATGTATGTTTATGTATTATGCCTTTTTCTAGTCCTAACACCTCATAAAATGTGGAAAACAATAGACACCAAAGCTTAAAGTACAAAGAGGAAAACTTTGAACTAAACAAAAGTATATTGTACAATTAATCTATTCAATTAGTACAATTCAAAAGTTAGAAACAAATGGTATTATCATGATTTTGAGGAATATACAAATGGTATATATGCCATACAGTCATACATCACTTTACAGTATTTTGTCATAAAATATTAAGATAATTCAATCTATAGAAAAATGGGACCCCTGGAAGATTAAAAAACTGCATAAATAAATTACATTTAATTTTTTTTCCACAGTAAAGATAGAGCACAATATCAATATTTGGTTGGCATTCTGATAATATTTAATTTCTATTCCCTTTTTTCCCTCCAAAAATACTAAAAGAAAATGAAGTTGGAGCAGAAGATATGGTTTGTTATTCCCTTGCTTTTCTTTGTTCCAAATACTATGACTACTACTGGCATTTCGATTTTACATTTATAGGTTCTGAATTTTATAAAAAGCATTTACTGGTCGGATTGGGTTCCGGATATTTTTGCTACACATAACAAACAAATTTATTATCATAAATACAAAGTTCAATTTGGATCAAAATTACTGATTTTACCTGCCACACTATAGAGAGTTCGTGTGAACTCAATAAATTTTATTCATATTATTTATATGTACTACGAAATTCATTGAGTAATTATTATAATTTGATTATGAACTCAATTATTATCGTTCATAAATTTTAATTTTTTTATAAGAATTTATAAATTTTACGTTCTGAATTCGCCTCTATATCAGTATGATAGGTATAGGATTAGGACCAATGGTGCAGTAAGAGTGATCCAATTAGTTTTATTAGTTGTTTAATAGTTGCAATAGACTAGTAGTTAGTTTTATTACGACAAAGTTTCCTAGTTTTTACTATTAATACAAAGTGTTTTTCTTTTAAAAAATTATCGTTATAATTTATGTGATACTGCTTGATTAGGTGTAAAAAAAAAGTTTAATCCAACTTGTGAATTGAGAACTAATCGATGTTTTCAATTCCATTATTAAAAAATTATGACATCAAGCTTAACATCATCATAATAATTATGTGGAGAGATGAACTTTTGAGTTTTTAAGGAAGAAAGAATCTTACTTTTTATCATTTAAGTCTTAAACAAATTAAAGATGAGACAAAAGGTAAAGAATCAATTTTTAAAATAGTCCCAATTAACAAAATTTAATGAAGAATAATTGTACAAAATAAATTAAAGAATATATAGTATTAGTTAAGTTACCAAGAAAAAACCATAGCATGTGCATGGTATATTATATATATAGCTACTCATTCTTCCATATATTCACATCAAATATGAATACTCTTTTTGTACGAGGAGAATCTTCTAGTACTTTTTCCCATTTTTCTTATGATGTGTTTCTGAGTTTCAGAGGTAAAGATACTCGAAAAACCTTCACAAATCATCTTTATTTCAGATTATGTCAAGTCGGAATTAATACCTTCATAGACGACGAGGAATTAAGAAAAGGCAAGGTGATTTCAACAGAACTTGAGAAAGCAATTGAAGAGTCTAGAGCTTCCATTGTTGTTTTCTCGAAAAATTATGCTTCGTCTAGTTGGTGTCTCGATGAACTTGTTAAAATTCTCGAATGCAAAGACAAGTTAAAGCAAATAGTTTTACCTATCTTCTATGATGTTCATCCTTCTCATGTACGCAAGCAAACCGGATACTTTGGTGAAGCTTTCGCTATGCTTAAGGAACGATCATTCGAGGTTGAGAGAATGAAAAAATGGACGGATTCACTTACTGAAGCTGCAAATTTATCTGGATGGGATTTGCAAAATGTTGTTGACGGGTAATATTTATAAACTGGTCAAACTGACTTATAAGTATTACCCATAAGTTGACCATCATTTTATTTTATTTTTCAAATATCTAACTTTTGTTTTTACTAATATGCAGACATGAATCAAAATTTATTGAAAGTATTGTAAAACAAGTTCTACAAGAGGTAAACCAGACACCTCTAGATGTTGCTTGGCACCCTGTTGGAGTAGATTCTCGTGTCGAAGATATAGAGTTGTTACTCCAAAAAGGATGTGTAGATGAAGTTCGTATGGTTGGTATATATGGCGTAGGTGGAATAGGGAAAACAACTCTGGCTAAAGCTATCTACAATCAAATATTTCGACAATTTGATAGTAGTTGCTTCCTTTCAGATGTTAGATCAGAAGCTGAAGCATTTGGTTTAGTCAAGTTACAAGAAAAACTACTAAATCAAATTCTCAAAACTAAGGACGTCAAAGTTACCAGTGTTGCTGAAGGAGTCAATCTAATCAAAGCAAGACTTGGGTCAAAGAAGGTTCTAATTATTCTTGATGGAGTGGATCATATGAGCCAATTAGAATCCTTAACAAGAGACAGAAGTTTGTTTAGCTCTGGTAGTTTAATAATTGTTACAACCCGAGACAAGCATTTGTTATCTCGGATTAGAGAAAATGAGAGATACAAGGCAAAACTTTTAAATCAAGATGAAGCTCAACAACTTTTTTCTTGTCATGCTTTTAGTAGTCCTTCTCCGCCACAAGAATATGTTGAGCTTGCACAAAGCATAATCAAATATTCATGTGGGCTACCGTTAGCTCTTGTGACATTGGGGTCACATTTACAAGGGAGATCCGTAGAAGAATGGAGATACGAGTTCAAAAAACTAAGAGCAATTCCTCATTGTGATATTCAAAAGATCCTCAAGATAAGCTTTGATGGACTTGATTGTGATACTCAAAGTGTTTTCCTTGATATCGCATGTGCCTTCCATGGATTTTTTGAGGATGAAGTTATCAAAACATTAAATGCGTGTGGTTTTTATTCTGAGAGTGCAATTTCAACCTTAGTCCAAAGGAACTTGCTCCAAAGGGATTGGCGTTATTTGGTGATGCATGATCTAGTGCGAGATATGGGAAGAGAAATTGTTCGAATGGAATCACCTCGAGACTCTGGAAAACGGAGTAGATTGTTCAAACCTCAAGAAGTTCGAGATGTTCTACAAGGAAATAAAGTCAGTAGATTCTTTATCTTTCGTCATCTTAATTTTTTTCAATAATTTGATAAATATTTGCTTATAATTGCTTTTATTCAATTCATTTGTGCTGAAACTACAGGGTTCCGATAAAGTAGAAGTACTGATGGTAGATCCAGGGGCATTTAAAGGCGCGAACCTGAGCACCAAGACATTTAAGAAAATGAAAAATTTGAGGGTGCTTAAAATCGATGAGTTACATATTAATGGAGATTTCGAGCTGCTGTCCAAAGAGCTCAGATGGTTGTCTTGGCAAAAATGTCCTTTAAAATGTATACCATCACATTTTCCTTCGGAAAAACTTGTAGTTCTTAAAATGCAAGGGAGTAATATCCAAGAATTTGGAGCGGATTTGAAGGTAATTTTGTTACTTTGGTTTAGAGTGAATAGTCAAAACACACCTAAAGTATCTCAGTTTTTCAAGTTTCATATCTGAACTATCACCAACTATTTATCGAAACACATCTTAACTATCAACTATCCTCTTTTCCTATCTGAACGATGATGATATTTCAGGTAGGAAACTCGTTCACCTGATAGTTCAGGTATGAAACTCGAAAAAATGAGATACTTTAAGTGTGTTTTTGACAGTTAACTGTTTAGTTTACAGTTTCTTTTGTACTGTTTATTGCAGCTGAATGAAAGATAAGTCTTAACTTACATAACTGTATTTGCTTTTTTCTATTAGTGCTGTAAAAGTTTGAAGAAGCTGGATCTCTCTGATAGCAAGCGCCTCGTAAGAACTCCAAACTTCAATGGTTCACGAAGTCTCGAGACTTTGTGGCTTCGTGGTTGCACAAGTCTGACAGAGATCCATGAATCAATTGGAAATTTGCACAGACTAATTGATCTAGATTTTTATGGTTGCAAAAAGCTTACTTATCTTCCGAGCAGCATATGCCATCTAAAATCCCTTCGATCCTTAGGCATTCGTTGGTGTTCATCTTTACAAACACTACCAGTTGAGCTTGGAGAAATGCAAGGTCTTACATCTCTTCTTGCAAGTGATACATGTATAATACATTTGCCTGGATCAGTTGAAATGCTAAAAGATCTCGTAACTTTGGAAGTAGGAAGTCGAAATTTAGAGGCCAAAAGGAGTATCATTTCACGAAGAAGAATCCATCGCGTTGAATCCCTGTCAAGTTCTATATCTTCTTTAATCCTTACATATTGTGGTTTCTCCGAGGCTGATATTCCTAGAGATATTGGGAGTTTATCCTCCTTGATATATTTAAATTTGAGTGGTAACAGTTTCCTCTGTCTGCCCTTTGATTTTTCGAAGCTACGATTGTTAGAGTATTTATGTTTGAATGACTGTGAGAATCTTCAAACACTCCCATCAGTATCAAATTTAGAAAAACTATGGACTTTTGAGATTGCAAATTGCAAGAAGTTGGTAGACGTTACGGGGTTGGATAACCTCCCTTTTATAGAGAGGATCAACATGGTTAATTGTACTTCTCTCCAGAATCCGTTCAACGAAGGCTTCTTTAGTGCACCTACTCTACCATTTCAATCTAGAAAAAATCCTAATCCGGTTAGTCTCTCTATCTATCTATCTCTCGTGGAGTTAATTACTCAGACAATCACTTTTCTGTTATAAAACAAAGTTGAATATAAAAGTTGTTAGTTGAGTGAACGTCTGAGAAATGAACTCGTCTCTTCTTCCATACTAATAATCTTCCCTCTTTGTTTGATAAAGCAGGGGTTAGAAATTTATCTCCAAAGCAATGAGATTCCGGATTTTTGCAGCAATCGAGTAACATCTTCGTCTATCTGCTTTACTATGCCCACACATAATGAGTATAAATTCTTAGGAATGATTGTCTGGTGTGTTCGAAAGTTTGTCAAAGTACCAACTTCAAGAGGCTTGCATCCGCGTGGATTGAGCTTTAATATTGTTGGAAGAATGCCATCAACATGTTACCATTGGCGATATGATTATGAAATACATGCTAGACGCTCAGAACTATCATGTGTACTTTACAGATCTTACTTACAAGAACCATTTTATGGACAGATTATGGAAGGTGGAGAAAAGATACAAATCACGGAGTTTGGTGAAGAAAGTACAGTAAAGAAGATAGGGATCCATCTGTTATATTTAGATGAACATAGTAATGTTACATCTTTTCCAGCAATCGTTGATCATTCTCATTCTCATTCAACAACAGAGTCGTCTCAGTAGAGTAGTATCCGGAAGGCATAATACATAAACACACATTCGCCCCAACTGACAAGTAAACACTCCGACTTTGAGAGTACACGTCTAGACACATCAACTTGATCTCAACAGACAACTTAACACTTGAACTCGTCCCACAGTGTGATGCTGACGTGACACATAAATTTTGGAGATGTCTAGATGATCATTTTGTAAGTTGGAGTGTTCAACTGATAAAGTAGAGATGAGTTGAGGTGTAGTAATGTGCATAGTCAAAGTGGATTGTTTAATTCAAAAAATGTAGGACAATGATATCCATTTTTCAAAAGGGTTGTAAAAGGAATTTATTGTTAAACAATACAACTTGTACATCAGAAGAATAAATTAGTGTTGCAACTTGACATATTGAATCTTTTAATATACTTTAAGATGTTATAACCAGAAGGTCTCAACACTACTAAGGAGGATTGTCTACGTATCTGTGAGGTATGAATGCAGTGACCCCAGGCTATAAGGCATCAATACGAAATAATGTACCGATTATGAAAGGTAACAGAATAGGACAGCAGGATATCAATATACAACAGAGCAAAAAATACTTTAAGTGGATACAATGTGCTTGCCTTTACAAAAAGAACACAATGACATGTTCTTTATATTTATCCTTTCATTTGAAAAGAAACAACAGAATAAGAAAAGCACTCTTTTTTTCCTTTTTAAATTGTATATGAAAAACACACTCAATAATTGGTAAACATTATTGTACATGACAAGAGGGTCGGGAGTTGATCAGACGGTAAGCACCCTATACCTTTTTTCTGAAGGTTTATGGTGGTTTCCGCGACATGGTGCTCGGTCACTTTTTTCACATTCTTAGAAGATCAAGACCAGACTTATGAACTGGCCTGGAGAAAAACTTAGCCATGTAATCTTTCACAAGAAACTCTTTATACAGGAGGGGATTTTCTTCTGATATGAGCTCTTTAATTGGACCATACATCTTTGGAGGTTCAAAAGCACCATGGAAGAAGCATGCCACTGATATCCTTGGTCCTATCTTATTTGCTACAACTCTATGATTTACACTTACAAACTTGTCATTTGATAGGATCTGTTAAAAGAAAAATCAGATTGAGATAAGTTTTGCAATTTGTGAAGTATGAAGATAAATATTAGAGGTAATGGTCAAAAGCATACCTGAAGTATCACTTTTTTGCACGTTTCCTATATGAACTATCAGGTGTTTGCTTTGCCTATCTGAACTATCACCAACTATTTATTCGAAACACTAGTCCAAGTGTTTGAATACAATCACTAAAAGGAACGTGACAACTTAATTTGTCCATGAAATTTCGCCCACATGGCAGCTGGCTTACTAATTTCAAGGTGTGTTTTCATGAATAGTTGGTGGTAGTTCAGGTAGAGAACACAAACACACCTAATAGTTCAGGTGGGAAACTCACAAAAGAGTGATACTTCAAGTGTGTTTTTGACCATTGTCTCTTACAAAAAAAATCCAATTAGTTTCTTTAGTTATCCGCTAGGAGTTCCATTGGCACCATTTTAAACCAAAAAAGAGAGTGTACACCACGCACCATTAGATACTAGTCGAAGTGTGTTTTGATAAATAGTTGGTGATAGTTCAGGTAGAAAACACAAACACATGATAGTTCAGGTAGGGAACTCGCAAAAACATGATATTTCGGGTCTATTTTTTAACATTATCACTAAATATTAGGAGTGTGTTTTGTTGCAAACCCGAAGAAAGTCACCAATATTAACAACCAAGCCTCCTTCAATTGGTTCAACATCGACCCATTGGTTATCATGCACAACTTGCAGGGCGCCACCACTTTGATCTTGTAGCAGAATGGTGAGAAAATCAGGATCTGTGTGCTTATCGGTACCAAGAGTTAGCTCTGGCTGTGGGCATGCCGGGTAGTAATGGCATACCAATGTTTTACCTTTGTCACATTCCATCGCTTTCAAGTAGTCCGATTTTAGCCCAAGAGCTTCTGATAGTAAGCCAAGAAGTGTGTCTCCAAGTTTTCTAACATGATTGATGTACTCAATGGATGCATTCCTGGACATTATTAAGAAAATATCAGACATCGCTAAGTTTATATAACCCTGCCTAACATGTCAAATAATCGTAAAGACGGAATCTTTGCAGAGTACTGTTGATCATGTATCATGAGGCCAAGTGCTATAACGAACGAGGTCTTCCCACTCAAGTATTGAAAGAGTTCGGGTATTAATTTGGGATCACAACAGAAGACCACATAACTGGTGTCCAACCTACTGGAAGATATTTGTTCACTTTGCTATGTTATCTATTATTCATTAAGGAGTATGATTCTGAAATGCTTTCGCTATGCATATTTTTCAACAGTTCTACTCTGCTAGACTTAAACAACGCCTCGAGGACTGCCAGATTAATCACTACGAACATTTTTTTGAAAAAGTACATATGCTCTTACTAAAAATTCAATGCCCTGCAGGCATAAAACAGGACAGATAAAGAATTGCAATTCGAGAGGACGAATAAGCATAGATAGTTAGTTACCTGCAAACTACCGGTATTTCTTCAGGTTCAATATGACCAGTAGCAATCATAGAAATGTTCAATGTATCCCTCCAATTCGCGGTGTGTGATTGATACAAATGAAGATTGCTCTCATATCTAACTCTTCGTGTTGTTCTATCACGCGAATAGTACTCTTTCTTTACTTCAACATCTTGCTCATGAAATTTACGAGTACCATCAATCATTCCTTCCAAAACACTCGAAGGAACCCCGTGATTTATCAGCTGGAAAAATCCCCACTTCTCTGATGCTTCCTTCATTTCATCAACTATCTTCTTACGCCGATCCTGAATTTCTATGCCACTGAAATCCACAACTGGAACCTGTAACTTGCATTGATTCAATTCATCAACAAGTTCATCAGGTGGCCTAATGAAAATTCGTGGAATATCGACTATTCCAGCATCAACTAGTCCTTTAACACCGGCTTTTGAATCATCAAACGCCTTTTTCTCACTCAATAGATCATAATCCATTGTCGAAATTCAGCTTTAGAACTCCACAATGCTTGTTGAATATAATTGTTATCAGTTTTAAGAGCCTTAAACAGATAGATGAGTTTGTTAAGGTCAACTACTGCTCATAGATATATAGAAATAATCTGTCTGTTTCAATTTGTTTGTCTTACTTTTCTCTTTTGTCCGTTTCAAAAATGAACGTCGTTTTCCTCTTTTGGCAACTATTTTTTGTAACTTTGGTACATTCTACGTATCTTAAATCAAAACTACGAGATCTAGAAGTGTTCTTTACTTTCTTAGACTTCGTGTTCAAGTTAAAAACCAGAAAAATAAATTGAAACGGAGGGACTAGTTGAAAACTTCTTCATTTATGATAAGAATGTTGTATTATATTATTTTGCTTAGTTATAAATGTACCTAGTACTTATTTAAATTGTACACACCTACCTAGTACCTTAAAAAGAATGGAAATATGGGACCCACAGATTGTACCTCTCCAACTCACATCTCCCTGTGAATACATGGAATTCAATACTCGTTTTATCCCAATTTATGTGGCACAATTCGAATTTTAAGAGTTAAATAGTTTAATTTTGATCATAAAATCAGGTATGAAACCTCAATTTACATATTTAAAATTGCGTAAAAAGTATAATAAGTCACAATAATTGATAATTCAAGATATTTAAAAGATATATAAAAAAATTACAGTTAATGAAAAATTTATTTGAATCTCAAAATTCAAAAATTACTACATAAATTGAGACGAATAAAGTATAATTTGTTAGTACGTACTACTCTAATAAATGAATTGATAACAAATATTATATTCACAATTTGTTAGTACGTACTACTCTAATAAATGAATTGATAACAAATATTATAATTCATTGATTCGATGTAATTAATAATAATAAAAAAAAGATACTTCTAATTTTGTTAAACTTGTAATAATTAATATTTTGCAAACACGATGGAATAAAAAATAGTAACTTGCTTTGTTATCTCATTATTTCTTGTGAAGTTGACCTTGACTTGTAACAGGTCATGTTTGGGTTGAGTAACGGGTCAATTTGGGCTATTGGGATATTGCGGGTCAAGTTGAGCAATTCCCATCTTATAAGCCCATTAATAAATACAACTCTTCCCCTATGTGAAATTTTGGACGGATTGGATGGGTTATATTTTATTTTAACTGATTTTGTCATCTCTACTAACACACTAGAAATGCAATAAGAACTTAAGAGCTTATATTAGCTTCAATAGCACAAAGCTTGTGTATGGATTAATGTTTGTTATAGGGATTTACTTATAATTATAATGACCGATCGTATAAATGTTTTTTTCACCATTAATCGATGTATATAAGCTTATATATATATATATATCTATTGCAGTATATTAAGAATTATTGTAGCTTATTTGAGACGTGATTCAAATTGTTTTTTTCTTTTATTAAATTGATCTTACCATAACAAAATTCACTTAATTGATACATGTACATACACCTAACAATTCAACACACAAGGAGTTGGAGTCAAAATCGCAGTCGGAGTCATATAATCATGACTTAGACATCAATAATTTCTTTGCTGTATTTCAGCATTATCTTCAAAGTTTACAATGGGAACCTCAAATCTGAAAGTCTCATAGCTTAAACTCGTGATCAATTTTGACTTGATCATGGACTAACATATGCAAGATTTATGTTATCCCAACATCTATTTATTAGAGTTACTTGATACCTGATCCATGAAATTAACAAGCAGACCATTGACCAATATGTAATACTAAAAAATTTCATCCAACTACTATAACTTAATTTGCTAAATCATATTTTTCATTTACCAATCAAAAACATTGATCCCAAAAAATATCTTTATCCTAGTTCTCATCCAATTAAAAATTTCACTAGTGTAACTAAGATGAGCAGATCCATCATAGAAGCTATGAGTTCAGCAAAACTCAATAACTTTAGCTATTAACAAATTCACTTAATATGTATAAATAATCTATCAAGAATTCAATAAGTAAAAAAATCAAGTCGAAATCTAAAACACATAAACTCAAAATCCTAACCCGCTTCTAGTAACTACTTAAGTTAGTGACTCAAAAAAAATGAATCACATCAACAATATCAATAGCACCACCAAAACGGCACACATCTGATAAAATTGAAACGATACAGAGAAAAATAATATGACCTCTACACAAAAATAATATGAACAAATCGAAAAATGGTTCCACCAAAAAGCAAAATTCATTCATAAATCACAACAACAATACAACATTATAATAAGTATAAGTAGACACAAATATAAACATTAAATTCATATACTCATTCAGGATCATCTCTACAACGATAATACTTAGAACAACCTCTACTATACGGATTCGACGGCGGCGGAAGGCAGCTCCGCGAATACGGTTGACCGCTTCCACCGCCGTTACAAACCGGTTGATCTCTTTTCAAAGCTCCAGGAGAAATATATTTTTTTCTTTCTGCAAGAAATCTTTTGCTAATTTCAGATTCCATTAAAAACTCCATATCTTCATTACATTTAGCTATTGTATCATTGCATTGTGATTGGCTATTAACAGATGTAATTATAAATAAAATGGTAAGAAAAAAAGTTAAGAAATAGAACAATTTTATGAAATTTGGAGCTTCCATTTTTGTTTTTTTGGTTTTTTTGTGGATTGGTACATTTGGTTCAATTATTTCTACTACTTTTTATCGTGTCTTTTTTTTTAATTTTTCATAGTGGAAGACACACTGAGTAGTGAGTACCAGTGGAACCGCATTAGTCCACCAACCAAAACCTAATTCTTCGTATGTGTATTGGTCGGTTCAATTTGGTGTATATATTATTGATTTATTGATTTTTTATTTTTAGATATGCTAAACTAATAACAAAATGAATAAGATATTTCTTTATCAAATTTTCATTTAATCAACAAAAAATGTTTATTAAATAAATGTGACTTCTCTAATAATTTTATGTGATACGACAATAATGTTATTTAATAATTTTACAGAAAGCTCATAAAGTTGGTACAGTAATAACTAACATGAAAAGAACTATACAAGTACAACACAAAGAGAAATAGTGGTTGTTTGGTAGCCGGATAAACACAAGCTTTATCCATATATTAGAGTCCGTATAACTTATACGCCATTTGGTAGGTGGATAAGAAAAAAAATTATTCATGTATATAATTAACACAATGTTTGGTAGGTGGATAAGAAAAAAGTTATTCATGTATATAATTAATACGGTACTTGGTAGTTGGATAAGAAAAAAAGTTATTTATGTATAAAATTAATACGGCATTTGGTTGATAATTTTGAAATTTGTATAACTAATACATGTATAAGTTATGAGGAAATTTGTGTATTATTTATGTGGAGTAGAAGGTGAAATAATTAAACGTGTATAACTAATACATGAATAAAAAATTAAAATGACAAAATTACCCTTATCACTTCCATTTACTACTTTCTTCTTCTACATAATTAAAGAAATATTTTAATTTAAATAGAAAATTAAAGCAAAGTTAAATAAGGAAACGGTATAATTGTAAAAAATATATAATTTTATTAATTTTTAATATAAAAAACAATACCAAAGGAATAATTTATTCATAACTAAACCTTGCATAGCTAATATTTGTATAACTAATACATGCATAGCTATATGCTTGCATTAATAATACCCACATTACTAATACCCGCATAACTAATACCCACATTACTAATACTTGTATAACTAATACTCACATTATTACTAATACTTGTATAACTAATACTCACATTATTAATACTTGCATAACTAATACTTACATTACTAATACATGTATAACTCTATCCATCTACCAAACAACCCCTAAGAGGATTAAAGTTATTACTTTCGGTATTGACGTTTTGTAAAAAGTTGAAACAGTAATAACTAACATAAAAAGAACTATACAAGTGCAACACAAAAAAAAATTAAGAGGATTACAGTTATTACTTTTGATATTGACGTTGTGTAAACTCAAAGTTATAGTAAAATATGAATCGAAAGCTAAAAGGCAAAGACAATAATTAGTAAGATACTGAAATTAATATTTAATATTTATATAGGAGTAAGTAAATTACTATCGTCTTAACGAGTTATCGATTTATTCAAAAATTTAAGATTAAAAAAGTAAAACCAAATCGATAATCCGATAATTTTTTTTATAAAACCATTAAAACCCCACTTTTTTCAATTTGATTAATCATCAATTTGTTTTTTGCACCCCTAATTTTAATTGTGCCGCGTATATTAAAAATAGGCAAAATGGTCTGATGAACCCTTTTACTTGTATCAGTTTGTATTCTGGACCCTCTTACTTACTCATTTGTCAACTGAGCCCTTAAACTCAATAAAACACAATTTAACAAATTCCTCTGACCATTGACCAAGCTTTTGTGACATTAGAATGTCTGAGTTAGCAAACGTGTGTAACTACACGCTCTTAAGGCGAGTGAATGACATTTTTGGGTTAAATGTAGAGGAGAACGAGGTGGGTGAGAGTGCCAGGTCATGGTAGCGAAGAGGTTTTTCGACTAGATCTGGTGGTGCGATGACTTAGGTTGTTGGTTTTGTGGAGGTTGGAGGAGAAAAGGAAAATGGTGATGGTGTGCGACGGAGATGTAGACAGGTGAGGGAGAGAGTATATGAGATTTCGCCGGCAAAAATGGCGACGACGACGTCGATGACTCTCTCTGTAGATTTTTGCCATGAAATGGGGAGAATTGGATGTACGGAGTTTTCATTTTTTCCATTATAGCTCACCAAGAACTTCACCATTGTTTCCGCTCATTAATAAAACATATCAATAGATCAAACAAAACACATAAAAACATATGAAAATGCAAAACATGAAATCGGAGTAATAAAGCTCACGAAAAAGTTGAACAGAAAATGGTGAAATAATACTCTAAAGAATAAATTAAAATTTTATTATTTTACCTTTTATTAAATAATTTTGATTAATAATTTTAAAAAATAGTTATGAAATAATTATGACATGACATTAATATATCTGACGTGGATATGATATGTCATTTATGTAAAGGAGAGTGAGCTACACACATGATTGGAGGAGTTTAAAGTCTCGTTTTAATTAAGTCTAAGGGTTCAATTGACAAAAGATTAAGTAAAATGGTCTAGAACACAAATTGATACAAGTATAAGAGTCCACCAGACCATTTTGCCTTAAAAATAAGGGTAAATTATGAAAAAAAATTATGACTAATCCCAAAGGATAGAATTGTGGGTCCCAATACAAAACAACCCTTCTTCCTCAATCGGCGCAATCGGCAACCGGGAACAGGCCGGAGCTGCACCGACGGGATTTTGGGAGTTCGCTTGGTTCCGATCACATTTCAACTCCCTTACATTCGCATTTTTCTCAAAATACTAAACGAAAATGAGAACGGAGCAAAAAATCTGGTCGTTTTTCGCGTTGATTTTCTTTCTCCTAGCCATGGCTGCTATTCGCATCCACGCGTTGTGGTTCGTTTCCACCGTAGCAGTGCCGGTACTTCTGACCGGACTCATATCGGTCCTCCGCAATGTAAATCCTTTTCCGGCAGTGATGATTGTACCTCACTACACTTCCACCTTCAACGCCATAGGACCGATTGCCTCTCCGATTATACTCGAGCTCCTGAAGGAAGAAAATCTCAACATTCCTCGAGTATCGGTGTTCATCTCTGTCTCCGCCACTGCCGTAGGCTTTTTCTGTTCGCTGATGATCGTGAGGACGAGGGCCGTTAGTACTGATTTGGGGATTTTGCACGGACTCTGCTACATTTCTGTTCATCTTGGATTACAGGAGTTCGATTACGGATGGCCGACTCTGGTAGCGTTCGGCCTTTCAACGGTGATGGTTTTTCTTCGAGTTTACTTGGAGACGCCGCCGCCGCCGCGGCGTGTTGCTGGTTGAGTGTGATGACTGATGGCTGATTAATCCAGAAAAACGCCCTAACTGTTTAAGTTCTAATCTAATCTAATTAGTTTTACTAATTACAAAAGTTATGGTTTAATGGACTATTAAGTATAGTAGCTAATTAGTTTAATTAATTAATATGAAGTCTTGTTTGATAGTTAAAAAAAATTACTCAATTTATGTGGTAAGTACTTATACCTTGTTTGGATGGTTCTTATCGTATTGTTTTGTTAGTTTAAGTATTATGTTTGTTTTGATTGTTACTCATTTCATTTTATCTCAATTCATGCGGTAGTACTTGTACTAATTTTGTGTGATCGCATTCTTCATAGTAGTTCTATCTCATATCCTCCGTTTTCTGATGGGTTTATCATTCATTATGAGTACGTGATATTATGTAATGACAGAGAACGGTACAATTTATCCAAACATTATATTTATTAAAACAATATTGTATGATACAATATAAACATAATGCAATATGATATGTTACATTACGAAACAATACATAATAACTATTCAATCAAAGTGTTAGTGAGGGTCGAACTTCTTAATTTTAACTATGAATTAAAATTTGAATAAACGTTACATATCTAGAAACATACAAATTAGAGGCTAAAATTGAAGGTGACAAAAAACACATGCAATATTAGAGGAGCAAAATCCATAAAATAAGTGGTTAATGTAATTTGAAGCATTTTTTTTAAAATTCTTCTAAAAATCGCGTAAAGGACTAATTAATTTCTCTCTAAACAAAAAAAGATATCATCTCTTTTTTTCTTTCTTCCCTCTCTTTCTCTTCTCATTTCTGCAATTTTATGCAGAAAGAGGAGAGAGAAAGAGAGCGGAAAAACGAAAAAGAAACATTTTTCCTTTTCCATAATTTCTTACAAACAAATAAACTCGTCAAAGAAAAGTTGAAAAATATTGAAAAGGATATATATTTTAGCAACATAACTAAAAAAAATAATCCATTCTTTATCATAAATCTACCAAATTTTATATTTTCTTGGATATTTATCAAGAATAAGGTTTGAGTTTTTTTTTTTTTTGGCTTTGTAATTACTTCTCTTGTATGTGTAATTAATAATTTGGTTTTGTAATATGCAGGGGTTATTATTTGTTGGAAAGAATTGGTTTTTGAATATCAAGAATTATTATCTTATTATTATTTCTCTCCATTTTTAATTAAATGGAGGGAGTATCTGATAATGTTCATGGTGTTATATTAGCAATATCATCCAGTATTTTTATTGGTTCCAGCTTTGTTATCAAAAAACAAGGTCTAAAGAAGGCTGGCGCAAATGGAAAAAGAGCAGGTTTATTCTTTTTCTCGAAAATGGTTCAAAACTCGATGAATAATAGGCTTGCATCTTTCTCCCCTTAAATACCAGACTTTTGTATGCAGAGAATCCGTGACACGTGACTAACTCTGTATAGAGTAGTTTATTTATGTCAATTATGGGAATATACCTATGTCTCTAGCCATGTAAACAGTCTCCCGCAGAAATGCAAGTAATGTGATTTAGTCTTTTCTCAACCCCTAGTTATAGCCAGAGAATATTAGTGCACCGCGCTGCCCTTTTTATGTGTTAATGCTCGAAGTTACATTAGCATGAGTTTTTGAATTGTGATCAAGCTTAACATACTTGTAATAACCTTCATTGCTTTAAATTTCCCATAGGGTATACTTCATATATGGTTTAAATACATATAGTTTAGTTTGGTTAACTGAACA